AATGTTTGACCATCCGTCGTCAAATTTCAATTTACGGGTTAGACGTATATTTTAGCATGCGCCTCATGACATGACCTATAATAAGTTGAAATAGACACAGAGCTGATAATTTCGATGTTCTAACCTTATTTGTTGTAAAAAGGTAGGTCCAAAGCCGATTTGACGTGTTTCTCTCACCATTCGTCGCACATAACGCAGTGTAGTCATGCCCTAGCCTATCTACCATGAAAATATGAGCGAAATCGAATTTTCCACACTTGCCGAGTTATTTCCATTTTTATGGACAGGGACTCTTAATAACTACTAATACCTACTTCTGTTTAAAGTTCCATGCACCAATCAAAATTGTGCAAAGTCTAGGTATTTCGAATGAAGGTGTTCTTGTAATTTTAAGATTTCTTACAAGTAATCCGTCTATCCCTATCTTTAGATGAATCTTCAAGCACTATGATGACAGTAATACCTCCTACAACCGTCCATCCAAGTAGCAGTGTTGTATTCCCAACACCAACACCAGCACCATGTAAGACTCATTTAGTAGCAGTGTTGTAACCAAATAAAACATGCAAGGTTAGTTTAGTAACAATGTGGAAACCAATGAAACACTGTGATGATGCAAGGTTCGTTTAGTAGCACTGAGTGTTTTTAAAAAAAGGTTCGTTTAGTAGCAGTGTTGTTACCCCGAAAAAACTACAAGGTTCGTTCAGTAGCAGTGTTGACCCGTAAAAAAACTACGCAACGCTCGTTTAGTAGCAGTGTTGTAAACCAAAAAAATGTAAGGTTCATTTAGTAGCAGTATTGTAACAAAAAAAAACACATGCAAGGTTTGTTTAGTAGCAGTGTTGTAACCAAAAAAAGGAAACATGCATTTTGTTTTAAATCGTTTGCTACTGATGCCAATTATCGGTAAAAGACCCTTTTGAAATATGGTTACAGCAGAAATGTGAAGTCAAGTGAGAAAACAGACTGATGACAAAGCATTTTAGGAAAAGCCTCAAATTGTGATCACTAATGCTTTAAAGCTGCATGACCTCCCTGCCCCCTTTTCTTTGGCCTTTAAGCGCGCAAGCGCCCTCGTTTCATAAACGGAGTACAGATAAGGTTTAAAGGATTGCAATTCCTTCTTAAGGGAAACCTCAGAACAAAGATCAGAGGAAGCAATTTCCAAGCCCGGCCACTGCTTCCATCTCTTCCAATTCACTGTTGCACTACGCTAGCTACATGGTAAAAACAAGACTTAAGTGTGACGTTAAATTTTTATTGAATAAGCAAATTAAACAAACCAATTAGTCCTGCAAGGGCAAGACCTTTTCCTGATTTAAATAATATTGTTGTTTTGATTTTTTTATAATCATAATGTTTTCTTTCCTGATTCAGGTTTAAACGTAACTCTGACATTAATAATTACAACTAACTGCTGTGGTGTCATATTAGTTGACCTTTCCAGTAGCTTGCAGATGGACGTGAGTAAAAGCAAAACCGTACTTAGTTCCAACACAACAACATGCAATCCTCGCACGTTATTACCGTTCTCAAACATTCAATTAACAATTTTGGTTTGAAATAGAGCGGCTTTTCCACAGTAACGTCTGGAAATGGGTATAGCATAGAATAGAACATTTATCATTAATTACTATTACATCTTGCATAAATCTTTTGTAAGGGTGTACCACTGGGACACTGAAGCTCTTATTCTAAACTAGACCATGATCAGCTTGATTTTGCCACCCTGTTCTAGACTAGACACCAAAAATCCCTACCCTATCCTAGACTAGCCATTTTCCATGCTGAAACTTTGTCACTATCGTAGTCCAACATACACTAACTAAACCAATATCCTACAAAGTCACTTCCGAGTTTCAATTTCTATTATAGAACCCCGGGTAATTAAAAAACCCCGTTTTAGACTAAATTATTTTTACTTTAGCCCTTTTTAAATGATACCCTATTCTAGGCCAAACTGTCTGCTTTCTAAACCCTGTCCCAGACTAAAGTGCCTGAAAGCCATACCCTTCACAGCGGTACATACCCATATAGCTTATATTTGGAGTACCCCCCGGGCTTTCCTGAAATCAGAAGTGCAGTTTAACAACTGGAAACATTCCTCAGGCATGAAATATAGACAGTTCTTTAGTTTTCAGATAGAAAAATGGCTACCATCAAATATAGGATACGGAAACTTTTAAAAGTCTGAAAAAGAATGAGGATTTCGATTTCCAGAAAAGTATTACTATGATTGTAACAAGGGTTAATTGACGTAAATGTGCCTTCCATCTCCTCCCTTTACCTCCGCCTAAAACTTGAATTTCAACTGTTACTTTGAAATAGAAAGAAATCACATTGCTAGCTATTCACCTGTAATACGTTTTCTTTTTTCTCTCTCAATCTCTTTTTCAGATCAAAGACCTATACGTAGGCGAAGGATTCCAGATCAAGTTCGTGATAATACTGAGTATTAGCTGCACCGGCTCGCGTTTAACTATCACTGTACTACTGTGCTTTTGCACCGGAATTCCGTTTGTAAAAACCATTGAAGGGGTGTTTCAGGCTGCGCTCAAGGACGGAAATATTACCAGTCTAACAGAAAATAACACAATCTACACCTTTAGTAGTAAGTGAAGAAAATAAATAAGTATTAATTAGATCCTCTTGCAGTTGGTCGATTTAAGTTCGCTTACTCTTCGGTAACCATTGAATCTGTTTCGGTCAGCCACTGAGAGGTACGAAGTAGGCCTGTCGGTTATTAGAGGAGAGAAGATTCCGAGGAAGATCGTTTACGCGACTACTTAAAAAGTAATGAATCGAGGAAGCGGATGGCAGATGGCCGAGTGGTATTAGGGCGCTGGATTTGAAATCTGGAAGTCCCTGGTTCAAATCCTTTTCCCTAACACTACCTGGATTTGTTTTCGGTAGTTCCGAGTTCAACCCATCGACCACGTTGTTGTAAAGAGCCTTAATAGTTTATGTCAAATTAGTTAATTTATTTTATTATTTATTTAACCTTCTCATACAAGAGCGGTCGTTACAAGAAAAGCGTACTCCGTTGATCCTTAACCACGTTTGGATATGTTTAAATCAATCACATAAATACCCAATGCTATTTGCTTGGGAATAATTATCCAGCGAATATCGCATGGCCAGACATGGACACTTAATTCTAGCATAGGAGGATAAATTCTCCTTAACAAACAAGTGCT